CAGCCACTGTCATACTGTATCCTCAACATACTCAACACATCTATCTTGCATATACCATGTCTCTCTCAAGGTCACTGACTAGGAACTGCTACTCTGCATATATTGAACAAGAGATTGGGGTCCTCTAACTCGTATTAAGCACTTGCGCTATACCCAGCATATCTAGTATACCCAGCATACCAATTCGACTCAGTATTCCCCTTAAGACTCCTTCCGTGATCTACGCCTTCGTCACCGATGAGGGAGTCTTATCGATCTTGGGATATTTGTATCTTAAGCACTCCGTAGTCTTTACCTAGTTATCAATCCTTACTCATACACACCCATCATGACTCCTCTTAGTTAGCTTATCAACCACCGCTCCGATTCTAGCAAGTTCTTCCCGTCCAACAAGCCCGCTGAGCCACCGCCCACGTGATGGCCCCGCGGAGGTACCATGGCCTCCCTAAGCAACAGCTCCCAGGTACTGCCTACTGACTGACTGTTAACTCTCAACCAGGAACCACCAGGGTGCTCTGGAGGTTGATCTTTACACTCCTATCGTTGTCATTCTTCCTTTTTCAAACCACCTCCCCCCAGTCCCTCCATTTCCCTCACCAAGCTCTTCCATTTTACTCTCCTTGTCTAGTTCATCAGTTCATGTATGCCTGAGTTCAAGATCTCCGCTTCTCTGGAGGGCCACGGCGATGATGTAAGAACGCCCCCTCCCGGCTGTTGACGCTGACTTTGCCCACATCCACCCTGCCCCCTCCATCTGACGATCCCCGACAACTGATCCTTTTATTTTACTTCGCTGTATCATAGGTTCGCGCTGTGGCCTTTCCTCATCCGAATGCCATCTTCTCAGCATCTCGAGATGCGACAGTGCGACTATGGAGACTAGTGTCTACCCCGCCTCCGACGTATGACTACAACATCACTTCTCACGGCTCAGCCTTCATCAACGCCCTAGCATATTATCCCCCCACACCCGACTTTCCCGATGGCCTGGTTCTCTCTGGCGGACAAGATACAATCATCGAGGCGAGGCAACCCGGCAAAGCCGCTGATGACAATGCGGACGCCATGCTCTTAGGCCATGCACACAACGTGTGTGCGCTGGACGTCTCACACGAAGGCGGATGGGTCGTAAGTGGCAGCTGGGATTCCACGGCCCGACTCTGGCGAGTAGGTAAATGGGAATGCGATCTTGTCTTGGACGGTCATCAGGGAAGCGTTTGGACGGTGCTTGCCTACGATAAGGACACAATCATCACGGGTAGGTGCCATGTCGCTCTACTATCACGCCATCTCACTACTGACATATCACAAGGCTGCGCGGATAGGATGATCCGTATTTTTAATACCTCTGGAAAACTCCTGAAAACTATCAAGGACTCTCAAGATGTCGTCCGAGCGTTGTGCAAGCTTCCTCCTTCTCACCCTTCCGGCGCACACTTCGCTTCCGCAAGCAACGATGGAGTTATTCGACTTCACACCATACAAGGACAACTTGTCGGAGAGCTTCATGGTCACGAAAGTTTCATCTACTCGTTGGCTTCCTTGCCTTCTGGCGAGTTGGTCAGCTCTGGTGAAGACCGGACGGTCAGGGTGTGGAATGGCATGCAGTGCGTGCAAACGATAACACATCCCGCGATCTCGGTTTGGGGTGTTGCTGCTTGCCAGGAGACTGGGGATATCGTCACAGGTGCCAGTGATCGGGTTACTCGCGTCTTCACCAGAAGCGAGGACCGGATCGCAAGTGCTGAAGTACTTCAACAGTTCGAAAAGACGGTCAAGGAGTCTGCTATTCCGGAACAGCAGGTCGGCAAGATCAACAAGGAGCAACTTCCCGGTCCCGACTTTCTCAAACAGAAATCAGGCACTAAGGATGGTCAGGTGCAGATGATTCGTGAGACTGATGGTAGCATTACTGCCCACACGTGGTCTATGGCATCTCGGGAATGGATTGCAGTAGGCACGGTCGTCGATTCCGCTGCCAGCAGTGGAAGGAAGATCGAGTACTTGGGTCAGGATTACGACTATGTCTTCGATGTCGACGTGGAGGACGGCAAGCCTCCTCTCAAACTACCATACAACGTCTCTCAAAACCCATATGAAGCCGCAACCAAATTCATTCAGGACAACGAATTGTCTATGAACTACCTTGATCAAGTCGCGCAATTTATCGTTCAGAACAGCCAGGGTGCCAGCCTTGGCCAACCTAGCCAAGGCCCGACCCCTGCTGGCGCCGACCCTTGGGGAACAGAAAGACGTTACCGTCCTGGAGACGGACAAGAATCGCAAGCTACCCAGCCTCCGCCGGCCCCGGAGCCCCGCCCCAAGGTCCTCCCTCAGAAGCAGTATCTGTCGATCAAGTCCGCCAACCTCAAGGTAATCGCTAAGAAGCTACAAGAGCTGAACGAGCAACTTGTGTCCTCAGGATCGAAGGAACTGTCGTTAAGTCCATCCGAGCTCGAGACTGTGGTTTCTCTATGCACGCATTTAGAATCCTCGAGCTTGAACGATTCGCCCATTGCAGGTACCGGTGTTGTGTTGTTATATAAGGTCGCCACACTGTGGCCTACTTCAAGCAGACTTCCCGGTCTGGATCTCCTCCGCTTACTCGCCGCGGCCACTCCTGCGGTCGCTAGTGCGGACTACGATGGGAAGGATCTTATCACAGGGCTACTTTCAAGTGGAATCTTCAACTCTCCATTGAACGTGAACAATGCAATGCTGTCGGTTAGAATGCTGGCGAATTTGTTTGAAACGGAAGCTGGTCGCAACCTGGTCATAAGCCGATTCGATGACATTCTACCTGCCATCAAGTCTGCTTTGTCCGCCAGCGGATCAACGCCCAATCGAAACCTGACGATCGCTGTTGCGACCCTCTACATCAATGTCGCCGTCTACTTGACCTCTGGAGGCAACGAAGCGGCTCCCGAGTCGTCGGAGAAGGGATTGGTGCTTCTTGCCGAGCTTACGCAGATGCTTCAGGGTGAGAAGGACTCTGAGGCAGTCTACCGTAGCCTTGTCGCATTAGGAACACTGGTCCAGGCGCTGGGTGAAGAGGTCAAGGCCGCGGCAAAGGAGGTTTACGATGTAGATGCCCTTCTCAACACCATCTCGAGCTCTGGACTTGGGAAGGAGCCGAGAACCAAGGGCATCATTGGTGAGATCAAGGAGTCGCTGTCGTAGGGTGAGCACTTGGCTGCAGGATATCTCTCCGAGTTGCATAGAGGGCTCCTCTACTACTCTATATCCATAGGGATTATACATATTGGTTAACGATAGCGATGCACACCTGCATGAAATCAAATATTGACTGAGTAGCCGTCAAGTTCAGTGACTAGTGACTAGAGAGGGATACATAATTTCGACTGCCCTTCCTATGGAAGATAGATAGCACCCTCAACCTCCTTGTTGCAGGTAAAATGTCCATTCCACGACCCTAAATCCAGGGCACACACTCTCACTTTGTTTGTCCTGTACAAAGCCCCCTTCCCAATCGACACACCCACAGCCCCCCAATCTACAACCTCCCCTCCGCATCCACCCCAACCTCCAACACCTGATCCACCCCCTGGTACTCTGGCACATCCAACCCATACTTCTCCGCAATATCCCGGGTCAGAAACCGCCCGCCCACAAAATGCCTCCCGCGGTAGAACTTCACGCACGGCTTCGGCGCCGTCAGACTAATCAATGCCTCCGGCATGAACTGCGCCCCCGGTCCGTCCCGCGGCGGTCCGCTCTCGATGTCCCACGAGCTGGGCGCGTCCACGCTCAGCACGGGGATCGCCGCCGCCTCCATCTGGCTGATGATCTCCGGGAAGGGGTCGCGCAGCGGTCCGCCGAAGCTGAACCCGAAGATGGCGTCCACCAGCAGGTGCGAGGCTTTTATGGCCTCGGGGAGGTCGTGCGTGTCGGCGAGGATCGGGATGGAGAGGTGGCGGAGTTGGGTTTTGAGGCGCTTTTGGGGGGGTGGGGTTGGGTTAGTGAGGGAATGGAGGTTGGAGTTGGGTTGGGGGTGGGGTTTGAGGATTTGACTTACCTGGTAGAGCTCATTTTTGCCCTCCTTGGGGTAGTAGACTTTTGGGCTGTAGCCGAAATGCGCGAGGTGGCGGGCGGCTACGAGGCCGTCGCCGCCTGTTTTGAGGGTGGGGGTGGTTAGATGGTGTTGTATGAGGGGGTTTCTTGGGGGATAAGATAGGTATAGGTATGGGTATGGGCTATGGGCTATGGCGCTGGCGCTGGCGCTGGCATTGGAGAAGGTGGTAGGTGGTAGGTGGTAGGTGGTAGGACTTGAGTGCTCACCGTTATTCCCAGGACCGCAGATGACGAGAATGTTCTTGCCTGCGCTTGGGGGATGGATGCGGTATACTGTTTTTGTGTCTCTTGCGTTAGGAATGGGCTGTTTGCCGAGTACCGTGTAGTAGGATGGCTGGAATTGGACGCGCGCGCACCTGCTTGAGAGACTGATAACCCCGCGAGCTCCATGAGCTGGTCTAGAGAGAACCCGCCGGTCTCCATGAGATCCTTGTCCAGCGAGGCGGCATCCTTGGAGGAGAGGGCCTATCGTATTCGATGCGATGTTAATGATCCGGGCTTCCTCTTGGTGGTCTAGCTTGCAGCTTGTGGGCTGACTGACCTTCAATGACATTTTGGCTGCTGTACTAAATTTGCGGAATGAGGCCGTGAGAGGAGGTTTCCGCCTTAGGATGGAGGAGAGGAGCATACAAGCGTGTCAATGTTAAGCTAGTGAGTACAGAGATAAACAATCCCTCAATGAGGCTATTGAGAAAAAGATCAGGAGAGATGATATTTAATTGTAAAAGCTACCAGAGCTACAGCACCATGATTGATAGATAAGTGTTCGCATCGATTGCATTGCATCATTGTTATCGATGTTCCCCACCGTCCAGCGCTAGTCCGATTCGGGCGCTCTATCCGGACAAATTGATCCTCCGGACAGGCTGGAAACTGCCGCGGAGTCGGAGATCGAGGGTCTACTCCAGCTCGTTCAGTTGAGATCTCCCTTTGCGCTGGCTCGGTGACCCCTCAATCTCTTCCAATTGAACCCGAATTCCTCCAAGATGGTCGTCCGTATTCGTCTGTCCCGCTTCGGGAACAAGCACCAGCCCTTTTACAACATCGTGGTCGCGCAAGCTCGGTAGGTAAATTTTTTTTAGGTCCTTCCAATGAAGCGCAGGTGCTGCTACTGAGGAGTCCTGAAGTTGCCCCAGCAGCAGTCCATCGACGAAACTGAATCATCGCGCTAACTCTGAATGCTCGCTCAGTTCGGCCCGCGACTCCAAGCCCCTAGAGGTCATTGGCACTTTCAACCCCATCCCTCAACGTCCCACCGGCCTCTCCGACGAGGAGGCCCGCACCGCGAAAGCATACAAGGATATCTCGCTCGACCGGTCTCGAGCCAAGTACTGGTTGGGTGTTGGCGCACAGCCCAGCGACGGTGTCTGGAGGTTACTGCACTTGGTATGTCCATTCTCGGGGGAGGCCTTTCCCGCAGCAAGACCGACGGCCATGACATAGCAAGCCACCTTTTACTGACCTCGAATGTGCTCCCAGGCCGGTCTTATTGAAGCGAAGAAGGTTCCCAGCAACTAAACCAAACAAGCGCGTCTACAATCGTTCCTTGATATATCTGTTGTACATTTAGCACGAAGCATGAGACACTGGAGCTCTGGGCCGGTCACCCGGTCGAACAGGGCCCGTGACGCGTGAGAAGAAAGGAAAGAGAATCTGAGGGCCGGGAGGAACTTTGGAGAAAAAATATCCCTGGATGTTACACTCCTGGCATGACTTATTGGCGTTTATTGAGAGAGTGATATACATTTGGAAACACTTCTGGGTTGAGAATTTATGTACATTATTGTGCGCTGACTATGTGACTGCGTCTCGCATTTGTGTTTAATTGCAATTAGCATCTGTTTGTGATTGATTTTGTTCTCCACCGAATCCTGTGCGCACACGTTGAGCATGACTCTTGGGGTGGTACGTGCTCGCAGAGTCTAGATCTGGAGTAAGGTAGTACTTCCTTACTTTGCTATGCAGGCTTCACTGCTGGAGTATGTCTCCTGTGGACTGTGGACTGTGGTCTGTCACGGGGGTCCTTTGTTTTTCTTTAACAAGCCTTTCAGATGGAGTCATAACAGCGGAAGTAGGACCCGAGTAGTACTTTTTGGTTGTGGTCCTTGCATTTGAGGTCTGGCAGGTGACCAGGCAGGGAATCGACCGCCCATCAGAGACACTTGCCCTTGAATTAGCACTGTCCACTGTCACAATGGATGCATCTCATTTGTAATCATAAACCATAAGGTTATATCAACAGGTCAGCGCGTCTCCGGCATGATTCAATAAATACCTCACAAGCGGCTGCAACACATGTATAGGCTTCACAAGGGCCATCGGTTGGTAACTCTGAATTACCTAACATGCATATAGGCATCAACAGCCAGGCAGAAACCACTACGACGACCAGTTACCAAGGCCGACCCAGTGCCTGATTCTTGGTGTAAACAAGAGGTTCAGACATGGAACTCCTCAGCTTTCACCATGGGCAAGGGTTGACCCTGCCCTGCCTGACTGCCGCCCGATTTGTGGCAGATTTACTTTTCTGCGGACAGTTAACATAAGTCTGCCCAGTGCTTGATGCCGGGCTTTTTCTCCCCCTCCCCCTCCCTTTCCTCCTTCCCCTCCCCTCCCTCTCTTTCAGTCACTTGTTGCTTATTGTTACAATTGCCGCGCATCGAAATCAGACCTGGGCCAATCTAATTCAGGGGACAGCCGCCGCATCAGCCAGTCTGGAGACCCATCGGTCTGACGGGCCGTGGTGATTGGCTTTCCTGAGGAATTCCAGGCAGGAAGATCAACATCAGAGTTTGAGCATTCTCATTGATCCATGGCAAGCCACTCACCTATCCAGGGCCTGTTTCCCTTCACCAGATAGGATGGTGGCCACACGCCTATCTCGTCCCCCCCCCCCCCCCCAACCCACCACTGTACAGTTCTGAACTGTACTCTAACTACTTCCCATGCCCGCGGCGCAGGTTGGAACTAGTCCGCCAGACTCTAATTAGTACGACTAAACCCATTTCTACTGCTGTCGCCTCATCGGACTATATCGTCGTTGGTTTGTCGGAGTGACTAGCGGCCCTCAGAAAAGGTATCTACATGTCGGCATGTGGGTTGTGCCTCAACAAACAACAAGGTGTATGGGGGGCTTATCGTGTCGTCGGAAGAGAGGTTGTGCAGGATATGGTGGCGGGTCTAGACGAGAAAGAGAGAGCGGGAGGGAGGTGGGGGGAAGAAGGAGAGCAAGAACTGCGCGACCCAGACCTGCTCCCCTGATTCCGTCTTTTCCCTTGTCAATAACAACACCAACAACAACAATCCTTCTTCCCCCTTCGCAATCACATGATAGGAATCTGGCCTCAGCTTTGGCAGACTGCAGGCTACGATCACGGGCCCTGGGTCTTCCAATATGATTGATTGATTAATTCCATTTTGAGATCTTCCCAGACTGGTTTTCGTCCGGTCGATGCATGCGTCTCGGGCCGAGTTTCTAGACCCCAAGAAGAGATACAGGCTGTTGGTTCTGGTCAATCTACGGTCTTGTCTAGATTGTCTCATTTGGTGATCGCTGTATGGTAATTGAGTTATACCACCGCCAGAGCTTTGCATGTTGATCTTTACTTTCAGTTTTCCGGCTGCGCAATGGAGACGCCGAAATGCACTCGTTGGAGCCGCACAGCAAGAGGCTCCTGGTCGCCGGGAACCACGGGTCTCATCCACGGGCAGGCTTTCTGTCGTACAGTGAGACTTGCTCGTGATCAGATGGGAAGAGAAGATTAGGGTTCTTCTCTGACATGGTTGGGATACTTGGTTTGGCTTTAGCGCATGAGACAGCATTCGTCATATACGGAGTACGAATTGCAGATGCGCCCGCCGTTGAGAGGTAAGGTAGAGGTAGTCCATAGTTGGTCTACGGTAATCAGTAGAGTAGAGAAGACTAGGGAACAGGGGTAGCAGAAGAGGGCAGAAGATACTGTAGCGTACTAAGGAATTAGTTCCTGGGTAGTTCAGTTCATTGTTGATTAGTTAGTGTTAGTTAGTGCTTCAAGCAGGCAGCCGGCATCTAGAAAGAGTTGCGTGCGTGCTAGACTCACTACTAAAGTTAACTAGCCTCGGAGTGTGTTGAGTGTTGGACTTGGTGGGATTTAATTCTTGTCATCAACTGTCGAGTCATGCCGCCACGGATAACGCGGGGTTCATACCAGGTTCCGAGCGTTTGTTTCGCAGGGTGTGTGTTCGGGGAGCCAGGACCCAGATCGACCACCTGTTCAGCCGGTCAGCATCAATTGATTTGGATTTAGATTTTATTGCTCTCTTCGCGTCTCCCTCGGGACATGGGGCCAGACTTGGAGAGCCAAAAAAAAAAAAAAAAAAAAAGGCTGAGTTGGTGAATGATGAGCATTAGTACGAAGTAGTAATTTCGATATTGCGATCATGGATAGTGCTAATTAATGCATTGTTAGCTGCTGAATCAGCCACGTCCCGCTGGCCTCGGCACACGCACCTCCTCCACGTTCGCATCCGTCGTGGCGGTTGTTTGCGTAGAATTAAATGGAGCTGCAATCGGCATCTCCTTGCTTGCATATTTCACTCTCCGATGGCAGGCCACTCGCACGCAGTCAGTCGGCTGTTGCAGCAAGCAGCCGCTCCGGAGAACAGAGAGACTAGAGAGACAGAGGCTGTGATTGATTCATGGTTGTTTTGATTTCGATAGTATTATCATCACCATCCCTAGAGTACAGTAACGTAGTTACAGTACTCGTACTTGACGACACCATACTTCCCCGGGGAGATCGGGATTCGCTGGGCAATGTTTTTAGTCCCTGGTCTTTAATATCAACTGGTCTTTAATATCAAGTCGCGTGTCGTGTCCATCTCGAACTGCCGGGTCGCGCTCGCGCTTCCGGCAAGCTCGTTGGGCAGTGGACAGCATGAAAGTGGAATATCTACCAACTACTGGGTTTAGTACTGTACCCAGTAAACCACCTTAATTGCATGATAATAATTTACCTACTCCGTCCTTTCCGTACCAAAGTCCCTCACTGAACGGACCGAGTGAGTGAGTGAGTGAGTGACTGAACAGTCAGCCTCGAGCCAGAGCCCAAGGGACTTCCGATTGTCCATCATCTGCAAACTCCTGGAACGGAAGCAGACTGGATCCGTGGAAGAAGACGAGAACGAACACTCACTCTCTAGAACCGATCCACCATCGATCGGTCTTCTCCCCTCCCTCCCTCCCTCCCTCCCTCTGGTCTGTCTGTCTGTCTTTCTTTTCGATACCACCAACACATCGACTTCCCCCCTAAAAGACCGTTCCGGGCTCGATTCATCCATTCATTATTGGCATATTGCTCTTCTTCTTGTCTGGGATTGACGGACGGACGGACTGCCACTCCCTCTCTTTTTCTCGCTTTTATCTTTTTACAGTCATTGTTCAGTGACTGTCTATCTACTTGACCTAACTATCCTACCTTCCTTCCTTCATCTCTCTTCTCCCACCCCAATCCGTTCAGCCAGTCATCATCATCACTATCATTCTCCTTTAACATCATCATTGCCGTTAGTCGTCATTCCAGGTTCACCACCTCCATCATAGCAAGCCTTCTTCGCCTCCAGTTTCTACTTGATACTCGGTTTCTTGAGCATAATCTGTTTGCAAGGTATTACTCATTTACTCACAACATCTTCAAATCGCTGTTGAGGATTCATTTGACTATTTCATACTTCTTTACTTTGCGACTTACTACTTAGATATCACTACTGCTACTTACTTAACTAGGCACTTCCCCCTCCCCTTCACTCCCGCCTGCTTTCTTTCTCTTCCTTCTCTTCCTTCTCTTCCTCCTTCCCTCTCTCCCTCTCTCTCTCTCTTTTCTGCCCGCACCCACTCATTCCCTGCCTTTTCCCTCTTCCTCTCTCTCTCCCTCTCCCTCCTCTTCCCCCCCCTCTCCCCAAAAACCGAACCTTATCCTTTCCCCGATTAATCTCTCTTCCCTCTCAATTTCCACCCACTCCCTCTTCCCGTCTTCGGTTCATACTCGTCATCCTCTCCCACCTTCCACTTCCCATTTCCCTCCCATCCTCCCTCTCTCCCCCCCCCGTCCCTTTTCCATTCTGCATCTTCCTCTCCTCTCCTTTCATCATATTCTACCTACCCCCCCCCCCTCCCCGCTTATACACCACGCCTTTTCCTACACTACTATTGTGATCATCAAAATTATTTAATCAGTCCTTTCACATCTTCACTTCTTCTGATTCACACCATTTGCTTGTGTTATCATTCCATTTGAGGCCTCAGTCATTGTGTCGTTGCCGTCAATTCCTCCTTCTGTCGCATATCGCCTCCTGAACGCGGCCGAACGCGGCACTTCTATTCCAGTTCCGCGCAACCTAGCATATCGCACTTATCACACATCTCACCTACCTTTGACTATCATCTGTCACTAGATCACCTATACGTGATAAGTTTCTGGCATTACCGTTCCAGCTACTAATTCTTCCATTGCTGGCTTCTTCAACTGGTGCCGCCTGTCACCCATTTGACTTTCGCTCCCTTGCCTTTCTAGAGAGTCCGTGCTCCTCCAGTCTGCTCGTGGAGTTTCATCGATCGATCGACTTGACACGTTGGTTTATCCCTCTGCAAGGCATGAGTGGAAGTTCGAATCAATCCACCCGCACGAGTCCCGGCTCTTTCAGCACCACTCAGCGCACGCCGTCTGTATCCTCGGGCGCGTCGCCGACTCACCAGTCGCTTTCAGCTTCTCAGCCGCCGTCGACGGCCCAGAATGTGATGTCGACCGACGTGTACAGTCCGCCCGCGTCGCAGGCCTCTTCATCGCTAGCTCCCACGTTCACTCACCCCTTCTCCCCAATCGCGCCCTCGTCCTCCTTTGACACTGTCGCTTCGACCACCATGCGCTTCGCCGATTCGGCACAGTCGCTAAACGGCTTTGCCCGTCCTGTCAATGGGGGTGGTGGGATAATCCTGATGCGGAAGCTTCCGCGCAACACCAGTCGCGAAGCTTTGCGCAGTATGCTGCTATTCGCGAAAGACCTCGTGGAGGCCGAATTCATACCTTCTGACCATCCGGAAGATAACGGATATCTATGTGCAGTCGCGCGCTTTGGCACGCTGGCCGCTGCTGAAGAGGCGCGAGCTTTGCTCCATGGAAAACCGAATTCCAAGAACGATGCTACCATGATTGTGGAGGTACTGACCGGTCCAGTGGGATCATCGTTGGCGCCTAGACGGAACACCATTGATCACACTGCAACCCGCAGTCTGCTGGGAGGTGTCAACGGAGCCTTGTCGCGCCAATCGTCACGGTTTAATGGAACTTTTCAGAGTCTGGAGAAGCTCAGCGCGACAACCGGAGCTGCCAACGGCGATGGTCTTCCAGATTCCGGTTCCCGCCTGCACAGCATCTTTGCCCCACAATCGCCACTTGGGAATGGGGTTCCTGAACTGCCTCGTGTCAGCGGCAAATCGATGATCGATCAAGACATTGACGAAGACACGGGAGAACTTCTTAAGGACCCGGTTGGTTATGCGGAAAACGGACATTCTGGTGCTGTATCAGCTGGGCGCCGTGCAACGAATCCTCAGATCTTGAGTAATCAATTTGCCAATATGTCCCTGGCGACTAACATCTCGTCGCCACCACTTCAGGGTTACACTCCTCAGAACTCTGCGCATATGGGAGTCCCTACCCCTGCTTCCACATATCCGCAAGCGATGAATAACATTGGGGCCGGCCACGGGTTTCCCTACGGCAACCCGCACATGCACCGCCACAGTCTACCTGCTGCGAATCCGAACGACATGAACCCGCCTTGCAATACTTTGTACGTTGGTAATCTTCCGCCGGACACCTCAGAGGAAGAGCTCAAGGCTCTCTTTTCTAAGCAGCGTGGTTACAAACGTCTGTGTTTCCGGAACAAACAAAATGGTCCTATGTGCTTTGTGGAGTTCGACGATGTGGGTACTGCCGGCAAGGCGCTCAACGAGCTCTATGGCTTCAAGTTGTCGAATAGTATCAAGACTGGGATTCGGCTGAGCTTTTCGAAGAACCCTTTGGGAGTGCGTTCCGGGCAACCGGGCTCCATGAGTGCATCGAATACCATGACCTCTCAAGGCGGCGTACCTGGCGGCAGCAGCCTCGGTGGGATTCATAACAGCCATGTGTTCTCTACGGTCAGTGGCCCGCCACCTGGACTATCAGCGCCTCCCGGTCTCGCTCCCCCCATGGCGTTGCGGAACAACGGCCCTATCCATCCGGTCGGCAATATGCATGCTCCCATTCCCACCAACGGTGCCTTTAACTCCAACCCCAACCCGGGCCTTGGAATCCGAACCAACTCGTCGATGGTTTCACCTCCGCCGCCGCTCACCGGTGGGGCGCCGAATCTGGGAGGGTTCAACTTTTCCTATCCGGACTACATGATGGGCCGCTAGAGGTCAAAAGAACAATTTTACGTCTCTGTGGAACAGTAAATGTCCGCGATGCTTGATGATCACTGGGCTACCTGGCGTATTGGGGCGATTATTGTTTTTATAAGTTAGATTAGCATTTGGAGGGTCACCTTCCTCCTCGGAGTAAGGATTTGGGCCCTGGACACTTTGACTTACTTGCGTGATGTTCTTTTCATATTGCACTCTGATAGCATGGAAACAGGGGCGCTGCTTGCATGTCTGCTTTTTTTCTGGAAGGGAATCTTGCATCTGCGTGAGGATTTTACATTGATCAAGTCCCTGTTGTGTTGTTTTATGCACCATCTTCATACCCCGTGTCTGTGTGTTTTTGTTTTATTTTATTTTTTTTTGTTGCTTTCTAATGTGTTCTTGCTAAAGATTGATCGATTCTCTGCTTTTCTTCGTGTGCATTTTCATGAGTCAGTTCCAATCATAACCACCAATGTTTGCAATTGGGGCAAGGCGTTGACATGGGTATACACTTAAGACTTCTGGAAGGCTACTGTTGGCTAGCTGCTGCATCGTCGCACGTTACTAGTACCATTATTCGGTTTGGCATTTCCCTTACAGCGTCATATCTTCGTGTATTGGTCATTGGTTGGCTCAAATGGGACACTCGTTTCTTTCCTTCTCTCTCTCTCCGACTTGTGGCTTTCAATAGCTTTGCTTTCTTGCGCCGATGGATGGATGGAGTGAAATGGTGAGAGCGTGGCAGAAAGAGGCAGGAAGAGGCGTGCTCAGTATTATTAGTATCATTATACTATCCTTGTTCTTTATCGCCTTTTTCTTCCTAATTGCCCCAATATGAGACAATTGCTTCTATAGCTGGCGGCGTAGTATGAGTAGGTCAACGTATCAACCTTCCTATCTGGGCAAGTGGGACTCCACCCACGAAAGTTGGGCTGCTCACGTGATGCAGCCGTATCTCCCGAAAAAGTTTCTTACCCTCGACTCGCGTGCAGTTCTCTTTCTTTTCGCTTCGTCAACATTCATTCACCTCTACTTGCTTCACCCTCCCCTCCCCCTCCCTCCGGTCAATTGGACTTCCCTTTTCTCGTTTCCGCATCCATTGACCTCATATTACCTGCTTCTCCTCCTCTCGCCCTCTCTTGCCCTCTTTCATCCTCTTGTCTGATTGTCTAGCACAAATACACACCAAGATGGCTCAACGAATACCGAACCACTTGGTCTCTAATACCCTCCTCCCCTACCTCTCCTCCTGCCCCTCCACCTCTCTCTTCAGACTTACCACCGCATGCACATCCTCTTCCCTCGCAGATGCCTCACGGCCCGCTTCCCGTTCCTTCTCTACCACAAGACCCTCGCAAACTAGGCTTCGCAGAGAGATGATCAGATGGCTTCGCGGGAAAGGATCCGAAATGCAACATCACATTCCTGGTCAAACCAATTATATCACACACACTAACAAGCCTTTTCCCGCCAACCCTAATTACCGCAGCGACCCTATACTCAGCGAGGACCTGCGCAACGAGATTCATAACCAGGTGACCGTTCAAAACAAGAGCGTGCGGGCTGTGAGTGTCCACTATGGCGTGGATATGAGGAGAGTAGCTGCAGTGGTTCGACTAGTCGAGTTGGAGAATCAGATGAAAGAACAAGTATGGCTTGCCCCCTGTCCTTCCCTTCTGCTCTTGCTCCCACCTCCCCTTCAACAAGAACGTCTTCCCGATGCAATGATGAGACAATTATAAAATCGATTAGTCTTTATGACCCAACTCCTGGGCATGCTTACAACGCCTTTAAATCTGATATGCATCATATCCCCACCTTTTCTTGGAGTTTCATCTTGTCGACGCTATCTCTGGTTCTTTCTCAGCAAAGCTAACGCGTCGTTCACCAGGGCAAATCCCTTGCGCTCCCCTACGCACGCGCCATTCATGAGATGGTTCCCGTCACTCCTCTCCCAGTTGAATGGGAAAGACGGACAGCCCACGAAGCCATTAATGACCTGCCGGCTCACCGCCTGACCGACCCCCAAATCTTCTACCCTGTCTCCGAGTCTCGGCAATTTAACCGTATTGACGCTGGCCGCGTGTTCTCTGCTGCCCCTGCTATGGCCAACCGGCATGCCGAACAACTTCAAGCCAATCCCGACGAGACCATCCGCAAGATCACTCAGGAGAGTCCTGCCAAGATTGAGAAGGTCGGCAAGGGCGACGGAGAGCACCAGGTCCTTTTGCCTGCGGACGCTCGTATCCCTCACCCGCACATGATCACTCATGAGCGCAACCGTCTGACCATCGGTAAGACTGAGCCCGGCGAGGTCCGTCAGAAGTACCGGGCGCGTCTCGAACAGGAAACCGCGGTAGAGCTGCAGCGCAAGGAACGAGCCCAGCAGCGCCTGGATATGAAAACCCAGAAGGTTCAGCCTGAGAATTCCCGGTTCGAGTTCCGCTTCACAGATGTGGTCGTCAGCCGGGAAACCACAGGTCTCACCGGCCGGGGTCACATGGCTCCTGGTCGCCGCTATGGTGTTCCCAGCTATGATCGGAAGAAGGGCCAGGTCAAGATCCCCACTCGTGTGCAGGTCTAAAACCCTTCTCATCCCTCTCTCTCTCTCTTTCTCTTTTCTACTTTTTCGCGAGGTTCTCCTCACCTCAGTGAGGTCTTCGAGAACGAACCTTGCATGGATGTTATCGGTATGCCAATGATGGGTTTGGGTTGCTTTTTCCCTGCTGAACTGTATTATACGGGCGTGTAATTTTTCTCTATTTTTGTGGTCCTTCTAGCTTTGTTTATGTGTGTGCCGGTTCTTTTCTTTTCTTTTCTCCGCCCCAGGATGGGATGGATCTATTTCAACAGATTCCCTTGAGCCGGAGTATTGTATTTATACACCTTTTTTTCCTTTCAGATCCGCTGGTCATACTATCGACCCAGTGCAGAGGAATCCTCTATCCCAGGTTCTCATGCCGAAGATACAATCAATCAATCAACATATCAACATGACTATCAATCTCCAATTGAAACGTCCCATGATCCTTCCTTTCCTTCTATTGTTTCCTTCGTAGAGAATTAACGCTAACTGTCTATGAAGGCGTATTCGTCTCGGATTGAGCTACACGAGATAGGGGAGAGGACCTACTTCACAGAAGACAAATCCAATTCCACCCTAACTTCTCAAACCCATACACAAAACTCAGCACGGAAAACCGGACAAGATTCAAGGATTATATGCAGGTAATATATTTGTGTATGTATATGACAAGTGTACTGTACTGTTTGTGTAGTTATATCGCACCCTAGCGCATAGACGAAAGAAAATGGCCCCTAGGGGAGGGGTGTGGGGTGGGAAAGAAAACCTGGAAGCAGAGAGATATAGGTTTCCACAAGAATTAGAAAAAAAAAAAAAAAAAAAAAAAAAGCCATTCTCCATTCGTGTGCGTGAGAATAGTCGTTCGTCCCTGTCGCTCGATTCATCAGAATTGATTAGGAGTTCTGACGTGCAATATGCATGTAACGGATGTTCCCAAGAGGAGGGGCTTCTCCAAGAAAAAAATATGAAAAGATAAGGGACGCCCAGGTCCGGACATACATCAGAATAGGAGACCAAAAAAAAAAAGGAGATTGAGATAACTGGAGGAAGGTGATACTGATTAAGCAGGCAGGCCAAGACTGGGAATGAATAAGAACATCGAGCTGAGCAATAAAGGGCTATGCTGGGTATCCATGGGAAGAGACACACAAAGTCGCGGAGTAACTAACAGGCCGCCGGATTGGGGCGGTGACTGCGGGGAGGCAAGACAACGAAGATAGCAGGCGGCAGATTGCAGTGAATCGATATGAACACCATATACACACTAGTCGTTGCACCAGGGACTGAGGGAAGACAAAGGGGTTAAGGTGAGTGGGTAGATGTGTTTGTTCGGGTAGATGCTGCGGGAAATGGAGGAGCGCTTTTATGACGAAGACTCAGAGTGCGTCTGCATCAGCTGGGATTCCTGGGACTGGGACAGATGTGAGCGGGCTGCTTGGCGAATCCAGTCCCTCTCCACTCCCACTTCCAGAAGAATCCTCGGGGGTCACGTCAATGGGTTTGGGCAGATGGAGGGCCTTGCGCTCCTTCTTGCCATTTTGGCTTGGCATCGACGGCGAGGGAGTGATACTCGGGGACGGTTTCTTCGACGCGGTCTCGGGTCCGGTCTGCATGGGGCTTGTATGGCCTTCGCCCGGTGGAAAGTAGTAGGTATCATTGGCGTAGCCACGCCACTTGCGCCAGCCCTCGAAGTCGATCAGAGCTTGCATGCATCCCCATTCCGTAACCTTCTGCTGCAACCACTCGAATCGCACAGGCTGTGAAGAGATCGCTGTTAGTGAAGGGTTTAGTCATACGAAGTCAGACGACTTACCTTGGTCAAGAAGTCATTGCAGCCAGCCGCCAGGGCTTCATGACGATCACTCTGCAAGCTGCTCGCCGTCAATGCCACGATAATGACCGGGCTTTTAAACTGAGACAAGTCATGTAACGTGTCTTCTTCGTTCAAGGGATCACTGTTGCCTGCAACGGCTGGCGGGGAGGTCACACTGGCCGTGGCCGCACTAGCCCGTCCATCGGCGGTTTTGGGGAACACGCCAATGCCGTTCAGCCGCTCCAGTCGCCGAATCTCCTTCGTTGCATCCAATCCATTCATGACGGGCAATTGAATATCCATCAATACCAAGTGGAAACCGCCCTGTCGCCATTTCTTCACGGCCTCCGCGCCGTTTGCAGCGCACTTCCAACGCACACTCAGACGCTTCATGAACGCCTCCAAGAGCCTTTGGTTGATGTTATTGTCCTCAACGATCAGCACGTTGATCGGCGGCACTGTGCCCTCAATGAGACCACCAAAGGCTCCACTCAATGACTGTGTCACACTCGATTTCTTTGGCTTGGCGGACGACGCAGACGGACGGGGCCGTGGAGAAGCTCCACGTGCAGGAGGTGTGAGCGACTTGGCCTGAGGCGACTCCGGGGGAGGACCGGGCGGAGTGGGAATGGAAGGCACCGGCTGGGACGATAGCGGTCCTGGGACACCGTTGGGGTCTAGCAGAAACGTAAGCGGGTCTGTCGTGGGAAAGAGGCAAAGCCTAAGATGGTGATGATTTCGAGGGGGCACAAACCTTTTGGGGCCGTCACCTGACCTAGCATCGTAGGAGAATTTGTAGTGTGGCGAGTGAGTGGTGGTCGACGCGGGTGTCGACTCCCGCGACTGCCCGGCGAAGGCAGTGGCGGGGCCATACCTGTGGTGAGGATTGATATTGACGGGGCGGGATGGGCGTTGACACTGGCAGAGGAGTTGTTTGGGTGTGATGGCGGTGTGGGAACAGTGGGATTTGCTGGCATGAGAGGGAAGTAGTCGCCATGCTCGCCTGGCTCGGACTGGTTATAGTAGACTTGAGGGCGCGGGGACGGTTTGGGTGTGCGTCGCTGAGGAATGTCGATAATAAGAGCCTCCTCAATGACTTGTCCTCCGGGGTAGTAGGTGTCCACCACGTTCATCAATGACTCCTCTGGGCTCAGGATCCGATCGGGGGTTGTTTGTCGATTGGAGCCCTCTCGTGGTGAGATCCGGACGACGATATCGGGCGCATCGAAAGTCTTGCCCAGAGAATTGGCATACTTGTTAATCACCTGGTCTCGCAGCTCGTCCACCACGAAGTCATCCGTGATGGGGACCAGAGTGGCCGACCCGCCTGGCCGTTTGACCCAGATCTTGCGAACCATACCTGTGCCGTACGTATTGAAGCGACCGTTGTCAAGTGCGTCAGGTTCGCCCGTGGGCCCAGGATCCAGCAAGCTGTTAATCAGATGTTGGTGCGACGGCGCAAGCAGTGACTGACGGCGAGAACCAAGACTTGGGCGCTTTGGGAACGGTGCGGGTGTGGTTGAAGTCACTACCTGGTAGGTTGTGGATTCCCCGGGTGGATTTTCCGCAACTGCATCTAAGACGGGTAATTGGGGTTCAACAACCGCAGACCCCAGGCGTTCCAGGCCCAGACTGTTGAAAGAAAGCTGGAAAGACGGGGCGTTGGCGCGACCGGCACTTGGAGGGGGAGGGGTTGGTGTCGGCGAGGGTAGGCGATCGGGGGCGAGACTCGTTGCTGGTGGGGGGTGACCGTGCTCGGTACACAAGCTTGAGTTGGGACGTTTGCTGGATGATGAGGTGCGAGCGACAGGCTTGCGCTGCAGCGGGAGTCGGGGTGCACTGGAGGATGCAGCGCCCGTTTGCTGAATGGCCGACGGTCGATTCTCGTCGCGCTGCTCTTCGACCGTATCTTCTGGTCCGGGCTTTGCGGATGGAGTGTCGTCGAGAGGACCGTCGAGCTGTCCTCGGCTGGAAGTCGGGACCGGTGAGCGGGAAATGTCGCCCACAGCGGCAGAAGCTAAGGAATCACCGTGCTCCGAAGCGACCGGGTGGCTGGGAGGACGGCCGTCGTCGGGAGAAGGTCGAGACAGAGTCTGGCAGGAGTGTGCGCGGCGGGCTGTCTGGTGATCGGCGGACGGAGAAACGTTAGCCGATGGGTCCTGCAGCTGTCCGTTGCCGTTGACAGGATTGACGTGATTGTCTCGATGGGGAAAATCGTGAGGAAGAGACGATGGGGTCGGAGGACAACCGTTGCCGTGATCGAGGTCGAGGTCGGGGTCGGGGTCGGGGTCGTGGGAATGAGGGGGAGGGGGATGGTGGTGGGAGAAGCTGGAGCTGAAGTCGCAGTCGTCGCTGGACCCAGCAGATCCATCGGTGGTGGTGGTGGTGGTGGCGGCGGCGGCCGGAACGGAGGATGTCGACGATCGCCGCCAGAGCTTCGCCTTCAGTCGAAGCCACCGACGGTCAGGCATGACGCGTTGGAGCAATAGCTGCAGGGAGTTGTAAAGGAGTGACAAGACATGGGATGGTAGAGAAGAAATTTTGAAGATTTCCTCTAATTGACTCCGTAAAAGGCGTAGAAGGTGCCCGACGCCGTTAGAGAGCCAGGGCCAGGCACAACAATTCTTCGGCCGGGAAGGAAAAGGAAAAGGAAAAGGAAATTTAAGAATAGACAAGGAAGCAACCAGAAGAAAGACCAGCTCCGATAAAAGATCAAATATCTGAAACACCCACGCTAGAGCCCAGGAAAAAAGCAAATAAAAGAATGAATGTAAAGCTGCTGTGGTTGAATGAAAGAACAGACCCTGAAAGGTCACCGCGTCCCCTGCCGGCTCAGTTGGCATACAAGCATCAATGAGGGCGAGGAGTAGAAGGGCACAGGAGTGAAGCCACTCGTCATGACTTAAGGGCAGAAGAGGAATGAAACCGAAAGATGATTAGAGGATGAGGACGAGAAAGAGAGAAATAGGAGGGAGTAAGATAGCAGAAGCTCAGGGCTCTTTCGTGTTAGTCTCTTGCCTGCGAATGGCCAGTCAATGAGGCACGACAGACTGTCGCTCTAGTCGATTACCGGATTAGCCTGCGATCTCTGCTGGCGAGAAAGTGAAGAAGGATAAGCAAAAGTGGCACGATCAAGGATGTGGCAAACAGAATAACAGCCTCAAGAATCACACATCAAATGCTTAAAACATTGAGAGGCTGTGCCTTTAGAAATGTCATGTTTTTAGTTGTCGTGTTTGGAGAGAGGGGGAAGAAGAAGAAGAAGAAGAAGAAGAAGAAGAAGAAGAAAGTGAAGCAAATGTAACTGTCAAGATCCAATGTCAAGATGTCATGATTAGGGGATATATAACCTACCAGTCAATTTAAAATAGATTATTATGACTGTTGCAGGAACAATCGGATCGAGGGAAATAATGTTATTTAAAAATGAATACAAAAATAAACCAATTTCCTACCACGCTTGGGCCCGACAGAGCGCCGGGCTTCGAACGGTTAAATAAGGATGTGAGAAGGAGGGAGAGACCGTCGGTTTCATGCACGCTTTGTTGGCATTGCCTTCCAATTCATCGATCGGTCTGTCAATACATTTACATGCATGGACTTGCAGCCAGACAGCTGCATCGCTATCTCTCTCACCGGCCGAAACTCTCGATCGTTCATCCGAGCCTTCTGCTTCTACCCCGAAAGCAGTCGCAGAACTACTTTACTACTGGCCCATATATAGGTTCTTTCTTGTATCATAACTGAAAGGTTCATTGCCAAATAACATGAGAGCGCCCAGACATTCAACTATACTCAAGTCCCCCCCCCAAAACAATCATATATTCTTTTCTTCCCAAAAGAAATCCAAGTGGAGAACACCACTCACAATATACACTTCGTAGACCCGTCAGTATCAAGGGACCACATCTCCATCACACCCACTCTCTCGACTCTCCGACGAGCCAGCAACAGGACCCTTCAGATTCCCCGGATCAGAAGCACCACCCAAGCACCGAGACCGTTCTGCAAGCACCTCATCAATACTCTTGCCCGTGGCCTTCGCCTCCCTCCGCACAGCGCGATATCGAATCCGCCAAACAATGTGGCTCGCATAAATCCCTCCTTCCAGGACGACGCTGTCCATCAACCCATCAGAGTCAGTATCGGCACACATCCCCAAATTTCCAAAAGCCAGGAGTGTGGCAAAATTCCCCCAAACTTACACAACAATGTACATGATCCCTCCCAGAACATCGAAGGAACCCTGCGCCGCTGCCTGCGGTCAGCATCATATCGAACAGTCATGCTTAACTAAATCGCGCGCGCTTCCCGAAGAAAGGAAAGACTTACCCAATGCAAAGAGGGAAAACAGCCCTCCGAAGGTGTCGATAGACAGGAAGACCCAATCTAGAACGGGGTTAGATATCTCTGCAAACCCCCAAGTACGTGCTAAAAACTCACTGAATCCGACCACCCGGCCATCTCGCTTCCAGAGCTCGAAATACGGCGGGACGAGCCCCAGTCCCAACAGGATGGCGGCCACGATGCCGACGATCAGGTCGGGCCAGGTGACTCCCTTGTCGTACGGGATCTGTGGTGGAATCAATTAGCGCAAGCTGTCAGTTGTTGTCAAGACAATGCGGGCCCACGTGCTCTGAGCGTGAGGATCAAAAGGGCCTCAATCCCACCAAACAGGACCGCAGCGCCGACAACCACAGCCGTCGCTGCGCGGCGACTGTATCGGCTGCACTCCCAGGCCAGTTAGACGAGTTGATTGATCGATTGAAGCATACCCAGAGTGCTTACTGGCCGTAATACAGAACCTGACCCCAGCTCACAAGAGAGAAGAACCCGAATATCTGGGGCTGGATCTGTAGCGGTATATTCACTCCCTGCAGTATCATATATGCTCCCATGGGGACCGCACCTGCGCCGATGCCATGAGCCTGTTGTCTAAAACACCAAAAGAGAGATAACGTACAAGCAGCCCAGAGAAACATCATCAAGGGTGGAAGTCCATCGGTCTTCTTCTGTTTCCAATTATACCAGATTTGCGGGATTAGTTGAATGCACCAGAGCACCGTCCCAATGGTGCCCAGGACGTTGGAGGCCACCGTGACATTGTCGTCTCCAGCCATCGCGATGCGCGGATGCACTACGGCCGCCAACGTGGTAGTATCAAAGACTTTTTAGGGAACTCGAAGTATAATCACAGCAGTTTGAACAGCAAGAAGAGTAGGATAGATAGCGGTTTATAAGCGGGATAATCCTCTACAGACAGCTTCCATAACCTTTGAGCCAAGCACATCATGGTCGTCATAAATTTTCTTTTCTCCAAAAATGCCCCACTACCTTCCAGAACTCTAGAGATAGCTAGCGATCCTCAACAGTCAGAGTCATGGTGAAAGGGTTCAAGATAAAGTAGACCTGTTGCCATCACCCACTGGTTCGGGGAATGAAGTCCGTCATTGGAAGAGCGGGCGATGGAGCAGCAGCGGAACTAAGACCGAAATGGTCAATGAGATGAGAAATCTTCGCCCATGTGAGTTAGTCAGATCATCTTCCATGCAAAACACATAATCAACCTCCTCCCAAACAAGGTTGACCCCAAGTATAAACTGAAGCGAATGCCGGTCAACACGATAATTATTATGCATCCCGAGCTACGCTCGTGGTTGACACCCGGTTATCGGCTGGTAGAGAACTTGTCGCTCTTGGTTGAGAATCAGGGCCTATGCGGTGGTTAGAATACTGTTCAGTCCGATCCAGTTCGCATGATTCAGAGAATTGATATAGGACAAGCGCTGCCTGCAAGACCGCCAGAGCTGGTGACGAATTCCACTGATGCATCGACAAAGGAAAAATTGTCAGTCATGCGCCTGCCTGCCCCAAGGCGACATCTAAAGAAAAAAGCCGCATGAGAATATACAATCTGAAAGTTCATTGAAATGTCTAAGGAACAGAGCACTGTCTTGAGAACAATATCCACATCCAGTGATACGAGCAAGGAAATACACCAACATAGTGCCATTTGACAGACGGTGTGGGGCACTACATGCTCGCTTCAACTTATGAGAATCACATACATATAAAACAGGGAATGAGATGTGTCTTAAAAGATGTCCAAACAACAGCAGGTAACCAAGAAAAAAAAACCATCAAGACATGAACGTTCGCAAACCGGATTCGCGCCGAGTGATACAACTCGAAGGGTATCAAAACAAAAAGATCTCTTTTTCTTCTCGCGACGGGCCAAGAAGGCGAGAATCAGACCAGGAAAGAGCAGAAAGAAAGGACGTTACACCGTGACGGACCCCATGCCGAGCTAACACGATCATATAGTCGACTGATCACACAGATGGATCACAGCAAGATCAAATAGTTGGATGGAGCAATACCGGTGTCTCCACTGGCTTTTCTGGCCTGCCACCATCTTCCGCTGACGTCAGATACCTCTAGAATCTCGTGCTTGGTGAAGCTGATCTCATTGGCATCCTCCGGGTTGGCCTCATAAGAGTAAATAGCCTTCGCGCGATACGGATACTCGGTCGGTTGCGGAACTTCATCGGGAGGCACACCACTGCCGGGCGGGGCAAGATTCGTTGCTGACGGGTTGCCGAAGCGGGGCTGCGAGGTGCGATGTTCCGACCCGGGGGCTCCACCATGGTAGCCCGAGACAGGCGACGAGGTTTCGAAGCCATTGAGCTGAGCAGAAGTGTACATCTGAGGTGGCTGGCTCGAGGTCGTTTCGGGTCGATTTCCGAAAGCGGTGGACATAGGTCTGCTGTTCCCGTACGAACCAGCGCCTTCCTTCTGTAGGGCGAATGAATCGATGAAACCACGGTGAGAAGCCTGTGGGCTCGATCCGAAATAGAAGATCCAGATGATCTACTGCCACTGTCAGTAACTGATCGGTCGAGGAGATGACCAGAAGGACGTGGGAGAAAATGACGCACGATCACCATGGACAGAAGAATGAAGCCTGCACCCGCAGCTTGCGAAGCTGCATTACTCGAATAAACAAGCGAGTTTACCGAGATTGTGGAAAAGACGAGACCAGCGGACAAGTAGCCCACAATCTAGAAGCCATCAGCATGAGGGAATTTCATAAACAGCAACCAGAGTAGCATACCGCGATATTATAGACCACGCCTGTATCCGTCCCAAACACGAGAGCCATCCCGACAATGATGCAAAACCCATATGCCAAGGCCCACCATGAGTAAGTGGGATAGCCCCCATGTATTCCAGTGATTATCGAGGAAATGAATGCGATCAACCATGCTAACTAAGCGATCGAACTCAATTAGCCGGTGTCCACGGAAGAATGGCCTCACGGAGCTGGAATACGTACGATGGAGATGGACGTAGTGGCAAGCGCGAACGGGTCGCCAAGAATATTGCTGGCTCTGAAGCGCACCATCTTGCGAGCGGGCTCTGGATATAGGTGTGATTTGTGAAGCGATGGTGAGTGGGAAGAGTATGCCACCATGAATGTGGTTCCGAGTCGCAAAGAATTTATATGGCGGTCGTCGGAACGATGATTTGTTGTTCACCAGGCGATGCGATGTGGCTTATGACCTCACGCTCATTGGTGGTATGCGGAGCAGCGACGGCAGGTCCCCTTTGCTTTGATTCGTAACGTGGAAGAGAAAGTGGAATGCGAACACGCGAAATGACGATCGTAGATTGCGGCAATGAGAGCGCGGATATAGGGATGGGACTATAGCGCAGTCAGTCAGCTTGGAAGAGGGCGAACGTGAGCGTCGAGAGAATCATGCAAGCCAATCGATCGGCAACGGTCGGAGGACATGTTGAGGCACAACAACAACACGAACCATCCCAAGCCAAGTCATGCAGAAAGGAAAAACGAGCAGCCGACATGAGGGTAGGTAGGAGAGTTTAAAAAAAGATTAAAGGCAAATCACAATTTAACGAGTGCCCGGCAGGGGTGATGCATCACATACTTCTGAGACAGACCAAGTAAAATGAGGGTCGAACGATGCGGCTGGCGATCAGGATAGGGAGGCAATTGACACGGACAGTCTTGAAACAGGCGGAGTATTGATCCAGAGAGCGACGTGAGGAAGGGTCCTCTGAGGAGGCTGGGGTCAATGAGTCGTGGGAAGAAGTCCAACGAGGAACACCCCTTGCAGTGGATGAACGAGAAAGAGCAGCACCAGGCTGTAGAAGAAAAGGATAAGTATGAAACGTTAGTGTCCGAACAAGATGAACGGACAGGAAAGATAGACAGAGAAAAGACGAAAGAAAGAAAGTGAAGAGAGATTGGAATGAGGGGAGCTGAGGTTCAAACGAATGAATGTGTTGAAGGGAGAAAGAGGGAGGGGGAGGGGAATCCAAAGGAGAGAGAAGAGAAGCGGGAAGAGAAGATGAGAAAGAGAGAAGAGATAGAACCAGCTTGAAGCCCGGGGGACCTGGAGCCGTGGAGAGAAAGAAGGAGAGCTAAAGGTGGTGGAAAGTTTAGTTCAGTTGCCCAGTTGGTTGGTTAGTTAGCCGTTGTTAGTTGACTGATTCCCAAGTTTGGTGATGGAGACTTGGATGGAGACCTGAAAGAAAAGGAGAGGGACCCAGAGAGACAATGGAGGTGTAGATAGAGTACTAGTGATGGGGACGGGGATCTAACAGCGACACAGACAGACAGACAGACCAGACTCCAGGCGCAGGCTGCGTGTTAACAAATCGATTCTGGAATAGTGCCCATTAGTACATCTGTTAGTTGTTGTTGTACCTGACGGAACTTCCTGAAGGGACGGATGAATGCCATGGGGAGGGGCGGCTTTGACTGCTGGAGCGGGAGAGAAACAGCCAATGACGGACAGGAATTCGTCTGACTGGCCCCATTTCATCACCACCTCAGGCATCCACCAAGTTGAACCACCAGACTCAGGCTTATCCTGGATCCACGCGAACCGTGAACCGCAAAGGACAAGAGAAGAAAATATGAGTAAGACAGACACACAGACTGCATACTACGGATAGACTGCAGCCCATTTTGGCCCCTCTGCAAGAACAGTTAGTGTGCGTGTGTGTCTCTCCGAAGCCCGTGACTCGTGCACTCGATTTATTGCTACTATTCTTATGCCTACGTACCACTATCCAGTCTCCGGTATCCACAGTCTGACTGTTAGGCTAGCTCACATGGCTTCATTGTTGACGAAACAATCATAGTCAGCAATCCATCCACCCATTCAGCCAGAACCTGTCCAAAATCCGGTACCAGCCCGATCCTATGGTCCATGGTACAATCAAATCTCTTCCTCCCCTTTCCAAATCCAAATCCAAATCAAAATAATATCCGATCCATAATTACACGTAATAATAAGCGGAGAGAAGATCCAAAAGTCGACTGCGAATCGAGGCCTGTCAAAAGAGAGGGGAATCCTGTCAGAAAATGAGAAAGGGCTCCGTAATTGCCCACGCTTTCTCAAACGAAGATCGATGCACATTCCTATGAAAAATGGGTCCCTCTAATCCCACTTGGGGGGGAAGGGAAAAGGCCCCGGCACGACGCACGCAACGCCCATGATTTTTTTTTCTCTTTTCCTTTTTTTCACCTTTTATTTTTTTTCTCTTTGCCCCTCTCACGGTCTCACACCTTTCTGTTTTAGACTAAAGTAGCCACGCGAGTGGATTCAGTCGCAAGGTACGGACTCACGGCAGACGTCTGGCCCCTTTGAGGCTGAGGTGCAACCTGTGGCTTGATAAACCAGCACCAGCACATGAAACACGCATGCTCTCTAGGGCTGGCTCTCTTCGGTGGGAAATTTCCAGATTTCGGCTCGACTGGAACTTGAGTGTACCGCCATCCCCATCAGTCATAATTTTAAGACAAGAATGGAAGGAGCGAAGTTTGATTACTCTCTCTTCTTTGCCTTTTGCTCTCACTCTCTGCATTCAAGCTACAGCAGCACATTTGTCATGACTGCACTTCTGGCCCGCCTGGTTTCAATCCCAACATAGTTTGTTTATCGGGATTTACACTCAGCTTATCAGTTGTTGTATTCTGAAGACGCCGACATATGCATCCTACTATGTGTGAAGACAACAGTTGCAGAACATCATTAAGCCAAATGCCCGTATCCGACACTATGGCTCACCCTAAGGGATTCAAGGTATAGAACCGCCAGGCAATGCCATCCAACGAACCTTGATGCCGTCCTTGGAACGGCCCAAGTCGGACAACGCAAGGCTGAACCTGCAGACACCCTTCTAATATGGCACAGGCTGTTCCAAAGAGAGAGAAGCATGAACCAAACTCTAAAGTCAAGAGTGAGAAACCAAGAGTGAGACGCCGGTTTCCCCCGTAGATCCCCGAGAATCTTTGATGTGTTAGCTACACCTAGCCAATGCTTGTTGTTACTGCCTCTCTTCCGGCACAAATTTTGCACGACTGACGGGGGGACCTGTCATTTTCACTTTCCGGATGGCCCACCATCAGCCCTGCCTTCTTACACATAGTTCGCATTCGAGAACGAGAAGGCGAACGAGTCAAATGAGTCTCAGACACTACTCGGTGTGGTCAACAGAGGCAGCAACAGCAGCAGCAGCAGCAGCAACCACCTAATTTGCCATCCAGGCCTCTCCACCGGCCTCGTTCCACTGGCGGCAAGGGTCGAGATGAGCGCATGGCAAATTAAGAATCCGCACCGGCGGGGGAACTTAAACTAATGAGAGAATAATGAAAAGACCGCACGCGGGAAAGTCAATCTTAATCACTATTACCATACCGGCCCTCTCTCGCCCCGTCCATCAATTTGTTCTTCCCGATATCCGAGGGAGGGCCGATCCTGATATCCCTCAGAGGCTCACATGCCGGGGTCCAGGCCCATATCTTACTCAATCTGCCCTGCACCACTCAAAAGCCGCTGCTTGTTCGCCCCTAAGACTTTGTTGGTCTGTATCAGTGAAGCGAGGCATGGAGTGCATGTAATGCAGTAGAATGCAGTGCAAGCGGCATAAAGCTCTCGTAGCAAGCAATAGCTTTTCTCATCCTCCCTATGCTTTCTCTTCATCGACACAGCATTCACCCTAGATACTCGTAGTACCACGTAGTAGTAGAAGTAGATCCACCCAACGTCCCCACGTGAGTTCGAGGCTCTGCTGCTGCCTGGGCCAAAAATCCATCACCGAAAGTAAATTGAAGAGAAAACAGACAATGGTATCACAAAAGCCCCATGGAGAACGCTAATAATCAACACACTACCAACCCCCCCTCCCTCAAAAGAAAAAAAAGCACATCAACATGCAACATGCTCACAACTCCTTCTCCCTCCTCTCCCGAACCACCTCTTCCCTTCGCACTTCCCTCTCCACATCCTCGAGTCGGCCCTCCCACTCGGCCCAGCACTCCCCGCCACTGACCAGCGCAACCTCATACCATCGCTGCAGCGCCTTGGCCGACCGGACCCGGAGCCCCGAGATCTGCCGGGCCTGATCCTCTTGGGTCTTGGCTAGCTGGTCGAGCCGGGGTTGGAGCTGGATCAAGGCGGCCGAGGTCTCCGCGTCGGGGATGGGGAGATCGTTCAACGAGGAGAGTCGGGAGGCGGTTTCGGGGAACGCAGAGGCATACGACAGAACGATCGAGGCGAGATTCTGGGTGGTCAGGTTCTCCGGGAGGGAGCCGGGCGGTGCTGGGCGAAAGAGTTCGGGGAAGCGATCATCTGGAGTGGTAGATCGTGTTAGTGGTTGTGGTTTTGTGTCGTTTGTGTATATACAAGGGGAAAGGGGGCAGGAATCATCGACATACGTAGACTAAGAACGTCTCTCACGGCAGGGATGTTTCGACTCAGTCGTGCCAAATCCTTCTCAAGGCGAAGGAGCCGACGCGAGATGCTGTCGTCCAGAGAAGCCGGCTTTGCGGGCGGCGTGGGTTCGCCGGTCCAGTTGGCGTCACCGGTGAGGAGGTATGTGAGGCGTCGGAGACGAGTCTCCAGAAGCTCTATCGTGGCGCCAGCCACCGTGTCGTTGTCAAGGGCCATGAGGGAATTGATAGGAATGAATAGGAATTGTTGACGCAACTTGCCAATTGGATTCTCGGGGGTGTTTGGGGAAAGGAGAGTGGGGTGCAAACCGGACATACACACGTGGGGAAGCTCTCAAATCCACAACAAATGGTCCCGTCGACGATGATCTTATCGTTCCAAGCCTACGACTGATTGTTCAGTTCCATCCTTAATGCTCGAGATCTCTAACACACTCCAGTAGATCGAAGCATGGCATGCCATATGTATATCCATAAGTACAAGTTGTGGTTCTTCGTCTTCACGTCGCTTTGTCGTCAACCGCGTCCCACATATCGGCATCTAAGGTAGGTTGCACAGGACCAGCTGTGCTGCTACGGCTAAGCAAAGGTCGCCCATTTATCTCTTGCATCTCTTGGCCCGGCCCCTGTGTCTCGTTGAA